AATATCAAATCTGCTGTTAATCCCAGCCAACAAATTTTTCATTTCAGATTTTGTATTTTTCAGTTTTAGGATTTCCATTTAATTGTTTTATACTTATCCTAAAATATACTATCTTATCATCCATATATCCATTTTTAAAATTTTATTTAAAAAAATTTTTTTTGGCAGCTGACCAGTACAGGGATCCAAACCCATGACGTCAGTGTTATAACACCACTCTCTAGTCAACTGAACTGACTGACTAGCCCTCCATTTTTTTCTATAGATTCTTTAACATATTTATAGTAAATATTTTAAGTCCATTTCTGCTAATTCTAACATCTGAATCATCTGCTCATCTTCTTTTTTTTTAAAGATGACCGGTAAGGGGATCTTAACCCTTGACTTAGTGTTGTCAGCACCACACTCACCCATTGAGCTAACCGGCCATCCCTATATAGGATCCAAACCCATGGCCTTGTTACCATCACCACACTCTCCTGAGTGAGCCAGAGGCCAGCGCCAATCTGCTAATCTTCTTTTACTGACTTTTTTCTTTTGATAACGAGTTACATTTTCCTGCTTCTCATGTCTAATAATTTTTTAATGAATACTGTTCAGTGTGAATGATAAGTTGTAGAGACTCTAGATTCTGTTATTTTCCTCTGCAGAGTGTTGAGTTTTCTTCTAGCATGCGGTTAAATTGGCAGATCACTTTGATTCTGCGAAGGCTTGGTTTAAAGCTTTATCAAGCCTCCACTCCTTCAGTTTTGCCCTTAATCCCATGGAAACTCAATGGAAAGACCAAGTTGTTTACCATGCCCCTCCAACTTGGCAGAACTTAAACTCCAAACTCTTCTCAGCACTGTACAGTTGCTGAAGTCACTGCTCAGCTCTTTGAGCCTTCCAGCTGATGTTTTCCACTGGGATTCTTGGAGTACCACCCTGTACTTGCATAGTTCAGAAATCAGCCAGTGATTTGGGGGGAGTTTGATTGCAGATTTGGGGTTCCCCCTTCTGTGTGTCCTTCCTTTCCAGAATCTCCTCCCTCAATTTCTAGCTGTATTGGCAGCCTTGAACTCTGACCTCTGATTCTGCGGCCCAGTTAGACCACGGCTTTCTGCCTGAGCTGTATATTCCTCTGATAACTGCATAAAGTGCTCACAGGGAAAGCCAGGTGAGATAGACAAGGGCTCTTGTCTATCTCAGTTTTTATAGGGTCATAGCCCCTCCAATTTTTGCCTGATTTTGGTTGTTCTCCAGTATCTTCAAACAGTTGTTTTTTATATTTTGACCAGAGTTTATCACTGTTATTGGCTGGAGGGTTAGTCCAACGTAAATGAGCCTACCATTGAAGGAAGCAGAACTCTTCAATCCTTCAAGGCTTTTCCCTCCTTAGTTCTCTTAATTAAACCGCCCCCCCCACCCAAAGCCTACTATTTGTGTTTCATGGATACTGTATCTTTTCTCACTTCTCTGAGGATATTAATGGTAGTGTTTTTTGTTCTGCTTCTCCATGAATAGTCTGTTTCCTCCAATTTGCATTCTTTTGTTTATTATTGATTTTGGTCCCTAACATTTGTGCCAAATATTTTTTCCTGGTGACCTTCACTGTCTAAAAACATTTAGGAGTAGGAAATTAAAAGTCAGATTGAAAGGTCTGTGCTTGTGCTTGTGGGTGGAGCCTGTGGTGTACTTCACAATAGGGTGATCAGATTGGGCTTATTGTTGGGTAGCTCCAAATGCCGGTATCTTTAGGTCTTTTTTCATGGGCTGGTCAGGTTCGCAGAGAAGTTGCTTTCTATCTCTTCCCCAGGGGGTAGTTTGGCTATGTGCATTCTGGGAGTGCCATGGGAAGAAGGCTGGAGGCTCACCATTCTACATTCACTTGATCCCTCTGTTTTGGAATTGGTAGCTCTGTCCTCAACTGTTGTTGGGGCCTAGTGTCTCCTAGGCCCGAGACCCTCTGTTTTGTCCTCTTCAAAGAATAAACATCCGGGGGACCGGCCCGGTGGTGCACTGCTACAGTGCGCTGCTTGGGAAGCGCGGCGGCGCTCCCGCCGAGGGTTCGGATCCCACATACAGACCGGCCACTCACTGGCTGGGCGAGGTGCGGGAGCAACACCGAGGGTTGCGATCCCGTTGCCGGTCCCGGTCTGGTACGGGCGCGACACTGAGGGTTGCGATCCGTTGCCGGCCACGAAAAAAAAGACAAAAAGGAAAAAAAAAAAAAGAATAAACATCTGGACTGGTGGGAGTTGGACAGTTGCTCAGGGGTATAAAGTCAGGAGAGCTGCTGGGGATCCAGCTTCTTCTCAAACAGCCTTCAAGGAATCTTCTTTGCTTCCCTCCCCCTCCGCCACTCCCAGAGGTACCTGGTGTCATGAGCCCTTTGAAGATTCCTTGGACAAAATTGGGTTCTCAGCTTCCCACACTGCCAGCTTCAAGTCTGGTTTTCTTGAGTGTGTAGTATTTTATCACACATTTATCTGCTTTTCAGCCTCTGAAATTCTGATGGTGGTTTCTTCTCTGATTTTTAGAAGAGAAGGAAATTAACTCAGAAGCTAGCAGCTAGAAACCTTAAAAGAGATGGCTTTCATTGCATTGGTTGATTAGAGTGCAGAATCTCCAAGTCCGTGGACTTCAAGTACTTCTGAGTAGTCCAGCCAATAGGAAAAGTTACGCAAAAAAAAAATAATAATAAAAATAAGTGCTTATGAATAAGGGTTAGTATATACAAAAGTGGCAAATGTAGATTAATGCATCTGAGAATAAATAAGCAAAAACGAAAATGATTTGGGCTACATCATGGTCTAGGAAGGAAAGCCAAGAATCGGCACAGACCCTTTCCTGGGGCCCTCTGCAGTGCTGCTGTGCTGGAGGCCTCTGTATCTGGGGCCCTGCATGTGTCTCTTTTTCCTTGCTTCAGGGAAAGACAATGGGGCTGGGGAAGCTCTGAGCAGGGGTGAAGGGAGTAAGAGCATGACAAGGGCAGGTGGTAAGCATGGGGATTCTTTAGCCCAAACGCAGAGAGTGACATGTCTCAACTGAAAACCATGGCCAGTGTGGAGAAGGCAGTTGTGAGCCTGAACACCAGATTGTGAGCTGCTAGGAGGAAAGGGTTGCTTTTGAAACTGGGGGCAGGTAAGTTTAGCACAAATGAAAGTACAGTTACCATGGCAGGTCAGAAACTTGGGAAACTGTTACAAGTGGCTCTTCTGGCAGGTGGTTTTATTCCACAGGGGTTTGGACAAATGAATGACGGAGCACCCCCTCCCGTGCCAAAAAGACAGAGAGAGTTCTGAAAGATGTTGATACATACATAACCTTTAATTTAGACACTGAAGAGGAAAGTATGCTCCTAGGGGCTATTAGGGGAACACTGGGCTGGATGGAGAATGGGCAGTTTGGTGTCACAGGAAAAACTTGACCTGAATTAAGAGATCTGGATTCAAATCCTGATTCCTCAATTTATTCACTGCGTGACCTTGAGTAAGTTCCTAACCTTTCTGACCCTCCCAAGGTGCTGGTGACAGTTCAGTAAGGCAGATATATAACCTGCAATAGTGTTGCTTTGTGTTGCTTCGCCCCCCACAGATTTGTCACCCCTCTTCCCCAGGTGACAGAGACGCAAAGGATTACTCAAAGCCCATCTCTTCTGAGCAGTGAGAGACCCCAAAGTGGTTAACTTCCCTGGAACCACACTGAATTGGAGTTCTCTTCCTGCATTTGTTTTTGAGACCAGGAAGTTACAGGAAGAGAACATAGGTGGGGTTATAGTTTAACAATATAGGCTGGTAACTATCAGTGAAACAAGCCAGGTGACATTCCAGTAGACAATTAAGTGATCTTACAGCAATTTCTCAGTATCTTTACATAACAGTCAGTAACTAGTCGGTCCTTGAGCCAACAACCTTGCTGTGCCACAAATCTGCATCTTACACCAGAGACTTATAGCCTGAGGAAAATTTCCAGTCCTCTGCAAGGTCAATATCTGAAACTGCAAGACTTTGGAAAACCAGGCCTTGTGAAGTACATATGCTTTTTAGCATATTCCACATAGTAGGCTAAATAAAGCAAAGGCTAGCATGATTCCCAAACAGAATTTATATGGGTTTTTATTTAACACATATTTGCTGAGCCCATATCAAATACCAGGCTATGTACATATATCTTCCTTATTCTAGAAAGGCTCGTGAAATGAAGGCACAGCTCTGCTCCATCCTGCAGCCATTCATCAGGATGGCACAAGGCTGTGCAGGTGAGCATCCCTGCGTTCTCTCCTGGCTGCAGTGTTGCGCATGATGAGAGAGGATGTCTGAGCACCTTCCCCCGTCTCAGCAAACTTCCCTACTAGCCACTTTCCTCATAACTAAGTAAAAGGTTTCGCAACCTCCTGAGGAATAAAGATGGTGATGATATGTGTGCAGGCCACTTCTGCTTTTCATTTACTCGTTTCTCTTGAGAGTCTCCAGATGCCCAGCTCAGGACAGGAGAGTTGAAGGTTTTGGGGGAAGTGGAAGGAGTGGGAGTGAGGGACATAGGAACAGTTCCTGACACTGTGACACTGTGGCGGATTGAGGTTTACTCCCCTCCTAGAAAAAATGTGCTCATAGCCCATGCGTGCCCACATCATTATTAGTTATGATTACCTCAGATGAGATCGTCCTCCTGGCCAGCTGTGTTCTGCTTTCCTTCCTATCAGTCACTGGTTCCATGACTTGTTGATAGCATATAAACACTTGCCTGGTGTGCTGTGCCGCCTTGCCAGTGACCAACCTGCCAATCCAAGACCCAGTTTTTGAGATACTTCAGTATCATTCATTTATCTTCTTGGTCTCAGTTAAACTTTTCCTTTGGTCCAGCCTTAAACTGTATCGTGAGCTTTTATTTGAATGAACGCCGGACCTCCTTTCCCTGAAGGTTATGATGTTGTGGGAGGGCTGATTCCATCCTCCCTCTCATCTTGTCTTCACCATCGGGACTCCTTTAACCTTGACCCTGTTTCTTCCCTTTTCCAGAACTCACGTGCTGTGTGTCAGACTGAGCTATCCCTGTTTCATCCTACAATCCAAGACTTGCTCCACTGTCCTGCTGATGTTCACAGCTGTGCCTGGGAAGGAGGCCGCCCCATCCCCTGTACATTTCAGTGGGAGGCCCCTGTGTGCGCCCCATGGAGACTTGATGGGGTAGGGGAAGAAACTGCAGGAGTGCATGTTCCAGAAGCTGCGTCCCCATGTGTGGATCACTGGCACCTTGCTTTCCTCTGTGACTTTGTTGTCCCACAGCGGGACCCGCCTGAGCACTGAGGGGATGAGGAAGCCACTCGCCCCCTTCCTTCTGCAGCGCCCCACGCCACAGGAACAGTGGCTCCTTGGGGCCCGAGGGCTGCTTGAGCTCAGAGCTGCTGCTGCCCTGCATGCTCAGCTCTATTTTATGCTGTGTAATTATGTACGGGAGGGACATGGCATCTTTCTGAATGGATTTTTCTTAAGAAATGTGCCTGTGTTTATGCAGTTCATGGTATTCCCTATCCTTCCTCTTACCATCACTTGGCTCTTTCTCAATAGGCTTCAACTTTTTTTTTTAAATTCAAATGTGTTTATAGGGATGATTTCCCACTCATCCTGATTAGGGGTGCTTCTTGTGCTGCGTCCTCCTGAAGTAGCATCCTTCCATAAGCCTTGCTTTTCCTCCTGTAGGCTGACAGATGACAGCGGAACAGCCAACATGCAAAGCCACTGTGTGTGCACAGATCAGGACCACGTGATTCTAGGGTATCCCAGCAGTCCACGTCTATGAGGAAGGAACGGGGCTCTGCACCAGGCGCTGCCTCTTGTGTTTCCTGTCCTCCTCTTCTGGAGGGCGATGGAGGACATCCTTTGCCGGAGGCATTTCTTGTGGGGAGGTTGTCACCACAGGAAAGCTTTTTTTTTAATGGGGAAATTTTGCTCTTTACCTCCTGCATCCTGACCCCTGCCCGGCCCCCCTTCTAAGGTACAGAATTGACTGAGGTTCTGATGAAAGATAAGATAGCCTTGATCTTTGGTAAGCTTGTAAACTCTTTTTATCATTTATGTTTTGCCATTGGAGAGAGGCTGGTGTTCTCCTTGGTTCTGCTTGGTGCCAGACAACTCCAACAAGAGCAGATGTTACATGTGCCAAGCATGTACATCACTGTGACAAGCCATTTGCTTACTGCCTTGTTCCCTTACAGCCAAACCAGCTGGTGAGGAGCTGCAGCTAGGTGGGTCCTACAGTGGTTCACCAATCAGCCTATTGTTTTAAGCAGTTAGACTGTGTTTGGCCTGGGGGGTGGAGTGAGAGAACTGAGTTTGTGGGTATGACACCGGGTCCCCACCTCTCTGGCCTGGTGTTCTGTGAGTGTATGTGCCTAGGCCCTGGGGAGCCTGCTTGCTCCACTGGTTTGGTCTCTTCCTGTCTGCCTTCGGCACCAGGCCTTGGTGGCATCACGGCTGGCCCCTCTGCTGCTCTGTGCACACAGCTGCAGGGATAGGAATAACTCAGTGCCCCATTATCCCCCGAGCAGATGTGAGACTGGCCACTCCCCTGCCCTGGCAGGGACAGGCTGCAGGGCACACGGTCACAGCACCATGAAAGACAGCTGGAGTCTGACCTCCCAGTCATCTCTGGACTGCAGTTGGGAGGCCCAACTATGAGATGGCCCAAACTGCCAGGTTGTTGCAGGACAGAGTGGCTACAATTGAATTGTCCCCCGCCCCCAAGAGTGAGGTATCACAGAAATGCTGATGACATTCTAGACGTCTGTGTCCTCTGAGGCTGGGCACAGCTTAGCAGAGCCAGCGCGGTGTGTGCTGGCTGAGAGGGTGCCCAGGGTTCGAGCAGCCTATTCTCTTCCAGTTTTGCATTCACCTTGGCTTCTCTGAGGAGGAAGAGTTGGTTCTCATCTTAGGTTTCCTTGGCAGTGGCCAGGACACGTTCTCACCACTCCCAACTCTTGGAGCTGCACGGGTCTTGGCTTGGGGCCCCTGAAGGTGGGGCCTGTGTCAGAGGTGCTTAGTGAGAGGGTGGAGGGGCAGGCCTCCCCCAGGATTCCCACAGAGAGACGGGAGGAGGAGGCACTGGCTCTCTACTTCCCACATCTAAGGAAAGAGACACAGAAAGCTGTCTATCTGCCCCAGCGCTGGGTTTCTCGTCCCTCATGGATGTAGAAGGGGAGGAGATTCCCTCACCTCTCACCTTCCTCTCCTGCTCCCCGCTAAGTGGCAACCTTTGATTGTGGAAGCAGCTGCCATGGCTCTGCTGCCAGCTTCACTCTCTCTGCCTGGGGGAGAGGCCCTCTCCCCAGGCCCCAGAGACTTGGACATGGTCCAGCAGGCCTGAAGGAAGAGCAGGAGGCCCTCCCACTCCAGGTCACATTCAGCTTTGGGAAAAGTGCAGCTAATTTTGAGCCACATGTATCAAGAAGGCTCTTCCTTCACTTGTTAGTAAAAACCCCTGGTTCTGCAGTCCTATCCTCCTATGAAGATGATGTGGACTAACGTTCGATGCTCTCACTTCAGCTGTGGAAAGTCCCAGCTGATCGACTCTCCAGGCAATGAGGAAAGAGGCCAAAGAAGCCTATTTCCTTGCCTTTGCCATTCTGAGCGTTTGGTGCTGAGAGGGTTACCCAGCCACCCCCTTTCTGGGGCCATGGTGTCACCGTTGTTCAGTGAACATGTGGGCAGATACGCCCACTGCCTGCACAGTCCGCAGCAGACATGCCGTGGTGCTGTGCCCTCTCCGTGAGGACACAGAAGCTCTGCAAGGTGTCTCTTCTCTCCTTCTTGGTCAGGGCCCGCCCACCCCTCATTTCCTAAAGGTGTGCAAGGGAGGAGAATAGACAGGAGGTTGTCGCTGGAACGTTTTGGCATGCCTCTCACAATTCTGCCTTGTCCACAGCCTGGTTTCTATGGCTCAGGGCCCAAAAAGGAAAACAGAAACCACTCTAAGTATTTAAAATGGAGGGGTTTTAATCCGGGTATTTGTTTAACACAGAAACAAGAAGAGCTGAGAGGCCAAGCAGCTGAGAGGAGCAAGGGGCAAGCCAGGGATGGGAAATGATGGCAGAAAGCTGCCCCCACCCCAAGGCTGGTTGGACAGTGGGGAGGCTGCATTACCAGAGCCCAGGGGCCAGGGCCACCACCAGGCAGGGCCTGGGACCATAAAGGGCCTAACTGGTGGGAGCTGGAGCCATGAGGAGGCACGGTCCCTGTCAGAAACATCCCCCCAGTCAGGGAGTGTGGGAGAAACGGCCTGGCTTCTCCCTTCCTCTTGCCCGCAGGTTTCTGCAGGTGCCTCACATTAGCTAAACCCTGCTGGAAGCCAGTCTTCCTGGGAGCCTGGGCAACTAACTGCAGGGTCAGCCCCACCTCTCAGAGCAGAGCACGGAGGGGCGGGGAGGAGTGTCTAAGGGCGAGAAGGCTCAGGCTGTGCAAGGCCTCGGTCTGCTGTGTGTTGTGTTCAACTGAGCCTGGTGTTTATGTCCCACTGCTGTCCTAAGACCCTGGTGAGTGTAGGTGCAGGAGCTGCCCCTTGGGTTTTGTACATTGTTTTAACCTGCCTAGGGAGGAAAGCGCTTTTGGGAGGGAGGGGGAAAGCCTTTATTCTTTATAGTTGTCCCTGTTTTCCTTTTGGGGAATTTACCCATTTAGCAACCCCACCTCACCATTCCCCTCAGAAGAACCAGTCCCAGTTTTCTGTCCTGCCTCCTGCTCCTCTCCACCGTGTCTCTGGTTTTCCTTGCTAGAGAACATTAACCCAGAGCATGCATCAGTGCTCATGAGTGTTTCCCCAGGATAATTCATTCCGAGTGTGAGATCACAGTGTGGAATGTCTGTAAGGAGATGCCATCTGCTAATCAATTTGTATCGTGTTTCCAATAAATTTCTGGAAAGTATGCCTGGTTTTATGCTGTCCTTTCCTGGGACAGTGGTTCAGCTATAAGACTGTGCATGCACGCCCCTGGGCCTTGGCATCAGTGTCCTTGTCTCAGGTGCTCCAGCCCCATTGCCCAGCCCTGAGGGCCTTGGGGAGCTAATAGGCCAGACAGCCTGCTATCCCTTGTCACACCCTCAGCGTGTGCCACAGACTCTCAGGGGCCTTTCCCCAGGGTCTGCATCTTCTTCTGTCTCATAAGCCACATCCTGAGGACATGGAGGTTTTGTGGTAGGTGGATTTGAGCCTGTACTCCCAGGCCTGGAGGTATGAGGAGCAATAGGCGGACCTTTCCCTCACTAACCACCCCCCGAGGCCACTCTCGCACTGCTGTGGCCAGTGCTGGGTTGTGTGCTGGGGTGCTCAGGATGGTGCCCAGCATAGGGCTCCTGTGTTTGCCTGTTTGTGTAGACTGCCTCAATAGGTATGCCAAGGCCATTCTGGGGGAGGGTGAACTGGGGCTCACACGGGACCCCTCCAGTCTGTGTGTGTGACCTTTGTGTGCTGGACTTTGTGAGAAATTTAAAAAATGTGGGGGAGACAGAGTTTCTTTCATAAGTTTCCCTGGAGAAGCAAGACAAATGCACCCCCAAGGTTATGGACGAGAGAAAGTGATGACTAGGGCTGTGTTGGTGCATGTAGGAGTTCTGGGGTAGAGCAGTCAGGGAAGGTTTTGTGGAAGCAGAGGGACCCCTCCAGGTGGAGCACAGCAGCTCTGCCTCTACTAAGTATGGGGACCCAAACCTGTGACCTTGGTGTTACAAGGCCACACTCTAACCAAGTGAGCTAACCAGCTAGCCCCTCTCGGTGTCTTTTTATTAAGACTTTTTATCTTGACTTGAATACAAAAGTACTTCAAAAAGTTCATGGAAAGATTCATATTATCTTTTAATTCTGTTTTTCCAGACACTTTTTGAAGTACGCTTCTATCACTTCCCTCCTTCTGGAAGCTCCGTTGTAGCTCAGGGTGTTGCATGCCCTACCTCTCAAGGAGGACCAACCTCAAGTTCCATGCCAGGACTGGGCTTTTATGGCTGGGCTTCCTAGGGGGTTTCTTCTGCCCCACCCTGGCTAAGTCTTACCTTTCATTTACTCTGATCCTGCTCCTCGCTTCAGGGGTCACTGGAGGAAACTGCCCAGCCTGTAGGGGACTTGCTGCCCCAGAGCTGTGGTGCTCAACTCCTCAGGCCCTACTGAGCTGCTTGCTTAGAGTAGCCTTTTTACATGTTCTTCTTCGGGAGCTTGTTTTCTTATTCCCAGAACCAACTGCTCCAATCCTTTGTCACTCCCTCAACCCTCATCCCCTGAGAGCCAAGCCTTCTAAGAATCCCTTCAACTTTCTTCCCTCCACCATCAAACCAACTCTGAGATAGTGCCATTCCCCCAGCCCAAGAAGGCCTCCTTCCACCTCTTGAGGACAGACCCTGCTGCCACCCATGTATCGGATCCCTTCCTCCACCCCCTTAGGGCCTTGCAGTCGACTGTTTTGATGCAGGCTGGATTCCACTTACTAGCTGGATAGCCTTGGACGAGTTACTCAACCTCTCTGTGCCTCAATGTTTTCATCTGTAAAATGGGATAATAATAGTATCTACCTCATAGGACTAAAGAAATTAGTGTGTATAAAATGCTTAGCATAGGGCCTGGCACACACAGGGTTTGTTGCTCCATTGCATCTCTCTTTCATATTTACCTTCCCTCCCTTCTCCTCCTACCACGACATTTAAGTCTCTCCATCCAATCCATAAAATAACAGAACAGGCAAACCACCAAAACATCTGTCCTCTACTTAGTTTCACCTGAAGCTATTGTCTTGTCTCCCTTTACCAGCAAATTTGTTGAAAGAGGGAGGACTTGTCTCCATTACTTCAGACCTCATTAATTCCTCAACCCATTCTAGTACTTTATGGCTTCTGGAATTGCCCCTGCCCCCAACCACTCACTGAAATTGCCGTCAATGAAGTCACTAATGACCTTCTCACTGCCAACTCCAACACTATTCTCAATCATCCTATTTGAGCTTTCTTGAGCATTTGAAGCTGTTGTCACCATATTAATTTTTTTCATTCTTTATGCTGACCCCTTTATTATCCACCCAGAGATATGCTAAGTAATATTCAGATATTACTCATAGTTATTTTTTCAAAATTTTCACAAAGATAATTTCAGATATAGTAGTAGTCACCTGTGTACCCTTTTCCATTTTCTCCATCTCAGAAGTAAACACTCTGTTTAATTTAGATTTATCATTCCAATACGTGATTTTATATGATTAATGCATATGTATGAATCCATAACTAATACAGAACATTTTTACATATTATTAATTTTATACAAATGAGAACCTATCACTTCTTAAAAAGCTTTTTTTTAAATTTTATAAATAGTACCAGACAATGTTAATCCAGGGTGTCCGTCCAAGATACTTGACCAGACAGTGTCAGACATGCACTTTGGTTTTGGATCAACTTTTTTCAGCATGTAATTAGGAAACACTTTTGAAAATGCTCTATTCTTGTATGAGACATGTTGCAGGCTGTCTGGGTATTTTGTGTTTGACTTTTACCTTCATAAAAGAAGGCTTTATTCTGTTCTTTTTAATGGACAGTCTCTTTACTTGGGCAAAGAAATGGCCTTGACTTCTTTTATGCCCTTTTCTTCTTGCTGCCATCCTGGTTTCCTTCCTGCCGAAAGGTTTTTCCTGGGCTTTCACTGGGCCTTCCTTTGTGTGCCCCTTACTTGCAGGGATTTTTTAAAAGATGATTCTTCGTCCTTCTTTGCCAGCTGACCCCCATCCATTCTCATAATCTCAGCTCTTCTTAGTAAGTGGAAGACCCTGAAATCCCATCTCCAGCCATTAAGTATGCTATTGTACATGCTTACCTGGAGGCCCTACAAGACCCTGCATCTTTTCCCCCCTGATTTTAATATTTATTTATTTATTTAAATTGAAGTATAATCGATTGTACATATTTTGGGGTCCAGGGTTGACTATCAGTATTTGTGTATGCTCCTGCATCTTGTTTTAACTCTTCATCTTCCCCTCCAAACCTGCTCCTTATGTATCAATGTGTCACGTCCACCCTTACCCAGAGTCACTGCTCTGTTCACCCCAGCTGTGCCTCTCATCTTGGCCCTTTGTGCACTGCCTTTCTTCAGGCCCTTGCTTGGAATACATTTCCTAATTAGTTGTCTCCCCTACCCCTGCCCTCCCCAGTCCCTCTACATTATTACCGGAGTCACTGATCAAAATGCAAAACTGGTCATCATCTTCCACTTAAAAGCCTCCTGCCACGCACTCCCCTTCCTGAGCGAGGCCTCCTTGTCTCTTGCCTCAGCGATCCCCCTCCCCGCTGCCCCACACAGCTCGTCTCCTCACTGCTCTGTGGCTGTGTCTGTGCTCTCCCCAGTGCTGGGGCTGCCGCTCTTCTCTCCTCGCCCCATCCTCTGAGATCCGGCTCATCCGCATCACCTCCCTGACGCCCAGGCACAGTGAGCTCTTCCCACCTCTGTGCTCTCCATGGCGCGGTACTACCTAAAGGCCTGGGGTTACGCAGAGCTGGGTTGCACTGGATCCACTTGCAGGTCTGTCTCTTTCAGGCTTGGCCTGGAGTGGCTCCAGGTCAGAGTAGTATTGTCTGTCTTTGTAGCTCCGTGTCTGCCCCTTGGGGGTGCCCAGTAAACAATGGACAAATTAGTGACTCCTGGCCCATCACACAGCCCTGCCTGCCTACTCCTGTGCACAGGAGTCCCTGGAGTAAAGTAATGGATGCCCTTTGATCTTCCCTCAGGGTGGCAGCAGGTTATATTAGGAGAAAGAAAAGATGGAAGGCACTGCCCAAAATTCAACTGAATAGTGCAGCCCACCCCAGGGACCAAAATGCTGTTTGGAACCTAGATGTAGGAAATGGGGTCTCTGCTGGTGCTGCCTCCAGCTGTCCTTATACCACCATGGGTGCTACTCTCCCGTCTGTAGAAAACCCTGCACTTAAACACAGTGTTCTTTCTCCTCTTCCTCCCCCACTCAGTCTTCCTTCTCCCTCCCCCTCCACTGCCTTCGTCACTTGATGCTCTGGCATGTGGTTATTGTTCGGGTGAGGGCCAGGGTCACTGTTCCTATTTCACAGATGGAAAACTAAGGCCAGAGAAGGGTGGATCGGGGCCAAGGTTAGGAGAAGGGAGTCCTGTTCACGTGCAGGCGGAGTGTGGAAGCAGCCTGAAGCCCTGCTCTGTGAGGAGACACCCAGAGCCCTTTAGAGACGGCCCTGTGATGGGTGGGGAGGTGAGGCAGGGAGGGGCGGCCGCTGGTCAGTGAGGGAGCAGCCCTTAACTTGAAGGCGAGGGGCAAGGAAGATCCAGTGTGGGTGTGGAGTGGAAGCCGATGAGCCACAGTGTCACTTCTCTTACATCAGGTGGGGGAGCGTGAGCCCAGGGGTTGGGGCGGGGGGCGGGCTTGATGGACATGTGGGTAGGAGAAGGGTTCAGGGAGGAGGCGATTAAGGAAGTGGCATTGTGGGGACCCATCTGCCAGGCGGGTACGTACAGGGGCAGAGAAAGTAGGAGATGAAAGGTGCGCAGTGTTTAGCAGGCAGTGAGTGTAGCAACCGGGTGGGGACTCCACAAAAAAGAGGTGCTCAGTCCCCAGCTCCGAGGAGTGTGTGGGCCTTTCTTGAAAGAGTCACACTTGGAAATCATCAACCTCAAGCTGAGGGTGGGCTGGCCCAGGCCTGGCCCTGTCCTCCCCGGGGTGGCAGAGGGCATAGAGAGGCAGAGAGTCCCCAGGAGTGGCTCTGCCAGGGTGAAAAGCAGCAGTGGGAGTGGAGGGAGGGAGCAGACAGATGAGGAACCACTGTGGAAGATGGGGGGTGTGGAACACCCCTCCCACCACCTGGCTTGGTCCTCAGCATCTCTGTGGGTTTCAGAGAGCAGCTGGTGAGTTTCCAGAAAAGGGAAGTGGGCTGGAGAAATAGTGTGGAGACTGGTTCCAATTCATCCATCCTGTCACCCCCCAGGCCTGCCTCCCTTTGCCTGACACTTTTTCTGTATCTTCCAACCCAACATGCCCCCCTTCTGGGCTGTGGGCGACAGTCCAGGGCTTTCACCTCCATTCCGGAGGATTTTTGTTAGAGGGGGAGCATCCTGTCAACTATATGTGAGGGCTGGACTAAGCGGATTAAACTCCAAAGGGAATTGGGGAGAGGTAATTAGGTCCCCATCATCAAACCCTGTGCCCAAAGTCTGGAGCCCTTGTGGCCCAAAGTCCAGGAGAGCAGTTCTGCCTTTAAGGACACTCCAGGGCTTCAAAAGCTCCAGCAAAGGACAGTGCCTGGGAGGAAGAGGCTGCAGGACAGCTTCCCCACTCTGTCCCCAGAGTTCCCTTTCACCTTGGGGCGCTCTCTTGGACTCCTGCTGACCCATTCCCGGGTTGGACGCCAAACCATTTGTTTGGTTTTCCTTAGAACAGCTGAGACAGGACTGCATTTTCAAAAGGAAATTTATTAGTATTGGAAGGGACAAACTGGATATCACAGAAAATGCAGCTGTCCAGTTTCTAAGGCAGACTTCTGCTCTTGCAGTAATTGTGCTCCGATCCCTGGGACTGGGCAGCTGTGCAGGCCCTTTGTCTCAGTCAGTGTTCCCACAGCTCCCTATCTGTCTGTGCCTGGCTTTGTGCTCTTTCCTTCCCTCTGGATCATCATCCTGGACACACTGTAAGGCCTAGGCAGCTTTTTCTCCCTGCCACCCACCTGAGTCCTGCTACTGCCTCAGTTTGGCTCCTGGTCTGCAGACATGCCTTGTTCGGTTGGTTGAGGCACCCAGTGCTGGCAGCGGTCCAGGGAGTGACCTTGTCCCTCCAGGCCAGAGCCCAGCAGTCCTTACCCCTGCAGCACAGCTCCCCTGCAGCAGATCCTCAGTCCTGGGAGGGGCCTTCCTTTTCCAGCCAGACCTCCTCCACTTGCGACTTCACCGCAGCCTCCGACTTCCAAGAGGCCTCCCCGCACCGCGCGGAGGGCTGGTAGGAGCTGTCCTCACTCTCCGGGCCCTGCGAGCTCTGCATGAGGCCCAGCAGGGCCCGGCTCTGGCGAAGGAAGCTAGGGCTGGAGAAGCAGTAGAGTGCAGGGTCCAGGACGCTGTTGAGGTACGTGAAGGCCAGGGAGCCATGGAAGAGCTGGGAGCAGATGTCCAGGGCATGGCAGGCATGCAGCCGGAAAGCCACCATGGAAGCAATGCCGAAGGTGATGCTGGGCAAGAAGCAGATGGTGTAGACAGCCACCACCACGGCCAGCACGCGCACAGCCCTTTGCGGCCCCGCCTGCTTGCCCAGGCCACGGCGCCGGATGGTAAGCCCGATGCTCACAATGGCAAAGAGGATGAGCGCCAGCGGCAGGAAAAATTCCAGCATGTACAGCGTGTGGTGCCAGCGGAGTGAGGCTGAGGGCTGCGTGCCCAGCCTGTAACTGATGCAGTAGGGGCTGGACTGGGTGGTCAGGAGCAGGTGCCCGTTGAGGAGCAGGATGCCTCCCCAGAGCCCCCCAGCCACCCGGGCAGCTGCCCCCACTGAGGCCCGGCTCAGCACATGGTGGGGCTGCACCACTTTCAGGTAGCGGTTGAGCGCAGTGGCAGTGAGGAAGACCACGCTGGCCGTGCGGTTGGTGGAAATCATGAAGAGGTTGACCTTGCAGGCTGTGGCCCCAAAGCGCCAAGTCTCACGGAGGAGGTAGTAGTCCACGCGAAGGGGCAGGTTGACGATCAGGAGAAAGTCGGCCACCACCAGGCTGACCAGGAACACTGTGTTGGAGGTCCAGGGCCGCGTGTGGAAGCAGAAGACGAAGAGCGCCAGGCTGTTCCCTGCCAGGCCCAGGACAAACTCCACGCCCAGGGTTGGTGCCAGGAAGGCAGGCACCACGGGGGAAGAGATGGGGAGGCAGGGAAGCCAGGCCTCTTCTGAGGACCCCCGTGCAGTGGTGAAGGCAGAGGGAGAGGAGGAGAGCGAGGGGGGGAGGGGGGCAGGGGGAGCAGAGGAGGGAGGGAGAGAAGGAAGGGGAGAGGGAGTGCTCAGGTTATGAATCTCCATGGGCGGACCTGAGAGCAGGCTCCAGAGTCTTCCTAGCCCTGCACAAGTGTTCAGGGCAAGTGAGAAAATTGTCACTGTCAGCTAGCCACCACAGTGACTCAACATACTGGGCTTTTCATCAGCATCTTGCAGCCACTGAAAAACACCCCATGTTCCTGTTTGCAGGCAAAGGAGAACCCTGTAGCCCTTCCTCCCTGAAACCTGCGTGACCTCCACATGAGGTGGGTGTCCAAGCCCTGCTGGCAGAGGAGGACGCAGAGCTCAGCAGGGGTGAGATGGAGGCCCAGGGAAGTCCTGGAGTGAATGGGAAGTCCAGCGCGGTGAGGTGGGAGAGGGCATCCGCAGTCCTGAGTGGTCAGACGTTTCCTTGCCTGAAGGCAGGACTGGTCCTGGTGACCTGTGGTGCTCAGGATCATTTAGGCCTCCCTGGACACCTCCACCCACCCTCCCCCATTATATATATATACAGGCCGGGTGGCCGCCTCCCTGTCCCCACTAGCTCTGGCTGCAGGGACTGTGGAGCCAGCAGGACGTTGTTCCAGGAGAGGGAGGCAGCCTCGACCAGCCTACTCATGACTTCCAGGTACCAGGGCTGTTGGTACCCTGCCAGCGTGCTGCATGCCGCACGCCTGGTATAGCTCAGCCTCCACCTTCTCCCAGGTTCCTGATGGTTCAAAAGTCTGTGATGGTCCCAGTTCATGAACATGATGGAGTATGTCCCACAGGCAGAGGGTTCCCCTGCCAAGTTTCTATTGCCATAGCATGGGGACCTGGGTGCTTCTCCTGCAATCAGCACAATCCTGACGTCCACAGGCTTTCCTGTCCACGACCCCCCATAGCTCCTTGTCTCCCCACCACAATCCCCCAGCATTCACTGCAGAGTGGGGAGCCAGGAGCTGGGGCTGGCTCTGGACAAGGCACAAGCCCTGCTGCACCACTGTGAGGCGTTTGCAAGAGCCCACAGGGCCAGGCCTGTGGTGGAGATGAAGGCTTGGGCTCCTGGTAACCTGAGACAGCAGGGCCGAGGTGAGCTTTGGTTCCAGCTCCAGGGCCTGACACCCCCCTCACCAACTGGCTGTGATCAGCAGGTGCCATGTGTGGCCAGCTCTGCTTACGGCTCTGGGTTTCAGGCACCATGGCCCTGTCCCCTCTCCCCTGCCCTGAGCTCCCTCCCATCTGGCCAAGGCTGAGGGCAGACAGGCTGTGAGAACCGGAGAAGTGGGGTGGTGAGACCCAGCCTGAGCTTTGAATGCAGACAGGCCTGGGTTGGAACAGAGTTACCCAATGTCCAAACCTCTCTGAGCCTCATCTGTGAAGTCGGCGTTGCCACCTTCTTGGAGAGCTGTGAGGATAAAATGAGATAATTCATGTAAAAACTTTTGGGGGATTCCCTGGCACAGATCTGGTGTTCAGAAAAACAAGATGTAATTTTCATTATTTTCTGTCTGGGATTAGGCCTGTTCTTGGTACTAGGAATAAACCCCTCTTCTGGTGGCCACGTACTCTGGCCGGTGGCTTCCTTGGGCCAGACTGTGTTCTCTTCTCAGCTTCTGCACAGAGCAACACATCACCACAGCTCAAGCAGTGCCAAGCCTCTGCCCCCACAGCCCTGGCCCATTGGTGTTTGGAGGAGGTGTCTCTTTGCTTGCAGGAGAGGAAAGCCCTCAGGGGTAGAGAAGTGAGTGAAGGTCCTGCCATCCCTCAGGGCCAGAAGCCCTTTCAGCAAAGTCAGGTCCTCCTCTGCCCACTAGGGAAGTGTATCACAGCAGCGGGTGCCAGGCTGTGGTTGGGGGAGACAAGAGGGTGCGAGTGTTCTTTTCTGGAGGAAGCTTTGACTCCAAGCAGGGACCTATTCTGTCCAGATCCAGCTTCTGTTGCTCCCACATGCACCCCCTCATTGACTTCTCCCTGAAATTCCAGGAAACCAAGCCCAGACCGCCCACTACAGGTTCCATGTTCTCATCTCTGCCCACTGCTGCTTCTGGGCCCCAGCATTCCTAGGTCCGCCTTCTCCTGCTCCCCCACCCTGCCACCCAGCAGGCCCAGGGAGCCCTCCCGAGTCTTTGGCCATGGCAACTGTATGTAATGAAGAGCAGGGGGTGTGAGGCCAGGCACCCCCCCCCGCCCCCCCCGCTGCCAAGCTCCTGAGAGGGCTCCTGGCCCGTCCTAAGGCTGATCACAGTCTTTAGGTTTTAACACTCATTAACTCTGGGTGTGGGGATTTTGTGTTCTTAGGTATTTCTCTGTTTTCTACAGTTAGCACAGATCACTTCTATTATGGGAGAAAAAACTCAACAGATCACATTTTTTTAAGTTATGTAAAAAAAGAACAAGTGGGAAAAGAGAAAGAGGCATAGAGATGACATAGCTATGCTTCCAGGACAGGACATGGGAGCATGCACGGATGGGGTCACACATAGTGAGGGATGCCCAACCATAAGCAAAGACACCCCATGACAGACCCTCCAACACGTACATGGTCACCTGGTGCCCGATGCCCCAGACATACAACACAGGTGCAGGGGAGCACACGGGCCGCCGTCGATGGCAGCGTGTGCTGCACAGACTCACAGGCGTTTGTTCACCAGGAAGACTTTATTGAGGGCCTTCCTGGTAGCAGGCCAGTGCTGTGCTGAGCCGATGAGGACAGAGGGACGGAGCAGCAGCCCAGCTGCAGGGGGCAGACCTCTTGGCAGAACCGGTGTGGCAGTGGACTGAGGGCTGACTGAGGAGAAGGGGAGGCACTGGTCCCCAGGAGCCTGGCACCTGGGCTGGGAGTGGCAGGAGGATGGGGGACATTGATGTCCAGGGCCCAGTGTGGGGGATGCTGAGATGCTCGGCAGCAGTACACAGACAAGAAGTGGGGCAGGGAGAGTAATTTGGCAGGGGTTGTGCTCAGGATGGTTCTCAGGTGCACGCGTGGTTACTTCTGGCCTACAGCAAGAGGGTCACCCCAGGGGCTTCTTGCGGCCAGGGTCCTGGGTCACAGATAGGGCCATAGAGCCTTGCGCTCGCTCCCAGGAGTACCTGAGAGACACAGATGAGCAGTGATCAGACAAGGCCAGGCCCCAAGGATCCCAGGGAAAGGAGGGTGGTCCCACAGTTGGGAGAAGTCCTCCCCGTGTACTCACGCAGTTCCAGCTGGCACCAGGAGGCTGTCGTCAGGGGTCAGGCTCAGGTGCTGTCTCCCCATCGTCACCACCGAGGAGCCCTCCTGGAGAAGAGGAACAGGAGAAGCAAATGGAGGCTAGTGGGCCTCAACTCCTGTCTCAATGTCCCTGACTCTGCTGTGACAGGGAGGCCTTGGGAGCAGGTCCTGCCGTGGGAACCCAAGGCCTAAGAGCAACCTGATCCCCATGGACAAGAGGTTGTTCTGCCTTTTCCAGGGCCCTACTTGCCAGCTGCCACAGCCACACGTCCACATCCTGTCTCGGGCCTTTGCTGCTGCCTTGCCCATGGGCGATCACCTGGTGGGAGGTAAAGCAGATTTTTCTGGCACTTCTTGCCCCACGGGGGAGAGGCCCCTGTGGGGCAAGGGTGGGGCCATAACACAGCCCCATCACCATGTGCCAAGCAGAGATCAGGACTTGGAGGGAAGGCCCCCAGGCCCCAGGCTCCCTGCAGCCTGCCACACAGTGGGTGTGGCCCACCTGTTACTGGGATCACACATGCCTGCCCTTCATGTGCACATTCACCTGTGCTCCCTCTGATGCATGCTCATACGAAGGCACGCACACCAGGGACACACACCAGCTCCACAGAGGGAGCATCTCCTTAGCATCTCCTCCTTTCTCTGGGAGATGCTAAGTCTGGCCTCAGGAGGAGGAGGGGACCTGCATCGGCCTGGAGGCCTACAGCTACTGTGCAGGCCATTCTCTTTCTGGCCCAGAGTGGGATTCCTCCATGGGTATTTGTTGGCATAAACGGAAGCAGGTAGGAGCAGGGGTATGAAAGAGGCAGGAGGCAGGGCCACCAGGCCAGTTCAGGGCTGAATGACACTGCCGTGATGGGGTGGGAGGGCTCAGTGGTTCATGTGTGAGCATGTGGATGGGGTAACTCCCACTCTAAAAGCAAAGAAACCTTGCTTGGGACCACATAGCTTCCACAGACTTCCACTCACAGCAAAGCCATTGTCTGAGTCATGCCTATGCTTGTGTCCACAACCTCCGAAACGTGTGTGTGTGTGTGTGTGTGTGTGTGTGTTCGTGCGTGTACAGGCAATTAGTTCCCATTTCCCCAGCCTGTTTGGTGGATGCCCTGGGTGGCCAGGACAGCATTACCTGGGTCTCATAGGTGTCCCCAAACAGGCTGAGGGGCGTGCCTGCCTGCAGCTCCCTGCGGTGGCCATCCATCCAGGCCTCCAGAGACAGGGGCTCCATGATGGAGCGTGTGCTCAGTGGGAATGGTGGCTCCTTTAGCAGCTGATCTGCACCCACAGCACAGCTATGATTAGTGTTTTCTGGGCTCATCCCACCCAGCCTCAGAGGACCCAGTTCCTAGGAGTCCCAGCTCTCAAGTGCCAGAATGAACTCTGGATCTAGTTCAATGATGAAGCAGCCATGTGGGGGGTACTGTTTGGTGCTGTCTTGTACTTTGAGTACTGGGCAGAGTACTCAGAAAGAGACTCCCTGGTACCCTGGGCCAAGACCCTGCCTACTCTTCGAAAGGAGGGAGGGAGAGAGAGAGGCAGTTCCCAGTGGGCTCACCAGGGATGGGCTTTCCTGTTCTGTGCTGCTCCGAGCTGAAGAACCTGCAGGGACACACGGTGGGGGGGGTTGGGGGCAAAGCAGGCATGGCAGGCACTCCTGTTTGAGTGGCCAGTGAGGCACACGTGTGCACACACACACCATACTCACATTCTCAAGTGCAGGAGCCCACCATACACTCAGGGGAGTGAGGGTACTTCAAAAAGTTCGTGGGAAAATGGAATTAAAAGATATTGGGGGAAAAAAAAGATAAATCTTTCCATGAACTTTTTGAAGACCCTTCATATATCCACCATTCTTTCCTTCCCATCCCTGTGGAGCAGCCCCTCTCCCCTCCCCCATGGGCTCTCCTCCCCGGACCCCCCATCCTGGGAGGGGAGACTTTCTTCCTAATTCCCCAGTGTGATGGCTCCAGGCCAGCAGGTGCTGATGTGGAGCGTCAGGACAGTGAGAGACAGGGGCTGGGCTGGGGGCTCACTCCTGGATGATGGGGGCCAACTGCGTGCCGAGGTCCTTGCAGTAGAACCACTTCTCAAACAGGACGTCCACGGTGTCCCCCACGTAGTATCTGTCAGAGGATTGGACAGGCGACCCTGCTCCCCATCTGGGTAGCTTCAGGGCAGCCTCGCTCAGGCCTGGCTCTGCTTGTGGACGTCTGAGCCCTGACCCTGTAGAGCTGGGCTGCCTGCTTGACCTCTGTTAGCACAACCTAGCAATCAATGCACGATCACTTGCACATGCCTCCTCCAATGTATGCATGTGCCCCCAAAGTGGGAGGGCTATTGTCCACAACATTCACATAGCTCTTCCCGGTTCCACAAACTAGCCAGTTTATAAAACAGAACTCTGAGGCTCAAAGAAGCTGGGCAACTTGGCAGGGACTACACAACCTAAAAGTGGCAGAAGCAGGCCAGACTCAAGCCAGTCTTAGAAGTTTTAGAGAGCTTCTAATCCAAGTGTCTTTGTTTTTCCCAAAGAGGAAGGTGAGGTTGAGCCTAAACCCAGGGCCAGTGGCTGGATGCTTTCCCTGCCTGTGGTGCTCTAGGTCAGAGTACACAGAAATTTACGTCGCTAATGTGTGAAGACGCTCCCAAATAAGGGGTTCTTTTTTAGGGTCATGGCTGCCTTTGAGAATTGATCAGAGCTTTGGACCTCTTCTCTGGGGAAAGGGCCATGTGCATGTACACATAGCCTTCAGCAGACCCCTGAAGCCCACTTATGCCCCTAGCTCCGCTCAGCTCCTCCACTGGCCTGAGGAGCACCTGGCAGGCTGGGCTGGATCTCAGGCCCCTGTGCAGGCAGCATGGTGGGTGCCGGGAGCATCTGTTAACTGAATGCCTAATTCTTGGGTCCAGCTCCAAGGGGCAAGTCAGCCCTGTCTGCTCTTCAACTCCTGCTGAAAAAGGGAAGCGGTCCTGCTAATGGGAGATGGGGTACAGACACATAGCACATCCATCCACCCAACACCCTAAATTCTATCCTGGGATGGAGCTGGCCACCAAAAAGCTTCATAACTAGACTGCAATGCCCTCCAGGAATTGCCTTTGAAGTGGCATTTTAATGTTGAGTTTCTGGCTTTTATTAAAGGTCAAAAGAAGCCAGATTAAATTTGTTATTAAATTTGCCATAAAATGTTATTGAGGATACCATCCTCTCCATCACTAAAGACTCCCTATGTAAAGCCCCTTGTGAAAGATTTCTTTAAAATTTAAGGCCAGGTATCTGTCTCTACAAGAAACTATTATGCAGTAGATTATTATGCGGCCATTAACATTGTGTTTCTTGAAAATATTTACTAGTATGAGAAATATTCATGAGTTTTTTTTTTCTTAAAGCAAAATTCAAACCCATGCATGCAATAAAACTGCAATGTGATAAGGTATAGATGTACATAGAAAAAAGACAAGATGGAAGTGTAAGCACTTCATGAGGTTTAACTGGTGGGATGACAAGGAATTTTTTTGTTTTCTCTTTATATTTTTTTCTTATAAAAATCACATACTATAAAATACACCCTTTTAGTGATGAGAAATTTTAATTTTGTTCACTTTACATTCCTGTACTTTTCCAGATTTTGAGGATGAACATGTATGACTCTGGTAATTAGAAAAAAAAAAAAAAGGAAGCATTAAAAAAATGCCCATTATAACAGAAGATGTGGGCTAAAGTATCCCGATCCCAGTAAGTTGATGGGGAAACTTAAATTTTCTTAGTAAAAAAATACGAAAAATAGTTTAGCTCTTGGAAACTCTTTGTTCCCCTGAGCTGTAGCTGCTTCCTCCTTTCAGAGGACAGTAAACTGCTCAGCACCAGATGGGGATCGCAGCTACAGACTCGGTGTCTGCAGCTGCCCGTGGTTCTTCCCCTCCTCAGTGTTGGCTCACGCTCCTCTCTGTCCTGTCCTGGCCCTAACTTCGTAATTCTCTAGCAAGCTTAACTTTCTGTGCCCAGTTTCTTCACCTGTAAAGTACGGACGATAACGCTGCCTAACCTAGAGGATCACTGGAGGATTAAATGAATAAGTACACATGGAGCCCTTACCCGGGTACCTGGCTTAGCAAGTGTCATCCAACTGTTGGCGCTTGTTGTGGGATGAGCTGGGGTAGAGAAACAAGCAGAGGGAGGCACAGGCCGAGAATCTAAACTCTGCAGAGAAGCAGCCGTGTTCCTGCTGCACTGGTAGGTGGGTCCAACTTTGGAAACCCACCCTTTCTTCATCCCACCCCTCCCAGCAGACGTCATGGAGAAAGCACAGGTTTTGATTCCAACCAGAAGGTCATCAGGTTGATTGGGCTCCCGTGGGGTCACAGAGACCATGCCCCCACCCCGCATCGAACCTACCCCACCTTAGCCCCTCCCCTATCAGCCAGCAAATACAGGATTTCCATCACCTCTGCTGAGAAGCCCTCCCACTCTCACGGGGGCCTGGAAGTGCTTTCTTGAGTCTATCTAGGGCCTTTCCTGCTGCAGTTTTGAGTAGCACCCCTCTGTGGCTTGCCCTCTCTCTGCCCCAGCTCTCAGACCAGTTGCATACCTGAGTCCATCTAGCTCGGTTTCCAGCCGCCTCCGCTCAATCACCAGCCCCATGGTGTTGGCAAACCTCTGTGGTGAATGGGGCACCCCGGCAGGCAGGAGGAATATCTGCGGTGGTGGAGACAGATGCCCGGCAAGGCTGCAAACCCTCACACAGACCTCAGCACCTGCAGCATCCTGGGCATCCCAGCGGACCCAAGGGGCAGCAAGGCACTGCTTGTCCTCCCTGGACCCTCCTCTTTGCCCAGCCTCTACACTAGGGAACCGGAGGGAATGTTGGGCCATACTGAGGGTGGAGCAGCTACAGGAGGGAGTGCCCGGGGATGGGGCAGGCGCAGGAAAGGGAGGCGGGACAAGACCTCGGCCAAGGCCAGGTCGAGTGCATGGGGTGGGTTCCTGTCCTGACGGTCCTTCACCTCCCCGGCCCCTGGGGCCTACCTCACCTCTCCCTGACGAATGACCACATCCCGATGTTTCCCTCGCTCCAGGACTCGGAGGACCATGTCTCCCTCCAGCTGATAAAACACCTGTGAGACAGCAAAGAGGCTCGGACCCTCCCCACATCCACTTCCAGGTCCTTGGCTACTGCCCAGGCACTGAGTTCTGACCAGGAAACCTGAGAAACTTCCTGAAGGCCTTGGAGTGTATGAGCAACTCCATCCCTCCTGTCCTGTGGTCCCCATCTCCCCTGATGCATGTCACAGACAGGAGTGCCAGGAGTGCTGGGGAAACACCTAGGTCATGTCTGGAACATGCAGGTGATGATCAAAGTACCCAGGATGCAACAGTTGTTGCCTGGCTTGGGGGCAGGAGGCCAATGAGATGCTCATGAGAGAGTTCAGTGAGCCAGCAGGTAAGGGCAACCCCCATTCATTGCGTGTCAGGGGCTGTGCCAAGCACTTTCATATGTGTTATCAGAAATCTTTATGACAGCCTCCAAAGGTATTATTAGCCCCACTCTGCAGAAAAGAAACAGGAAAAAGAAAACCAAGGCTCAGAGTAAAGCAACTCACGCAAGGTCACACAGCTAGTGAGTCCTGGAGCAGCAGTTTGAACCTGAGTGTGGCTCTGGAGCCTGTGTAGGTTCTTCTGGCCAAGGTGATACTCTGACACAGGGCGGGCTGTGGAGGTCAGCCAGTGGGTGTCAGTGGCAGCCTGGGGTGTTGGGGCTGTGGGGTTTGGGAGCAGCCCCTGCTATTCTCTTCGGGGTGGCTCCTCCTGCATTTCCCCTATTTCTTTACCCTAAGTCTCTAGTTAACATGTTTACTGAGATCACCCCATGGAGTGGGGAGGAGGAGGCAGACACGTTTTCTCTTCACCGGTCGCACACTGCATGGGGGTTAAAAGCTTCAGCCAAATAGATGAAGGGGTGTTATTAATAACAATAATTATTATTATCATCATGTAAGGAATTAGAGTAGAGAGAGGTTCTTGTCACAGCATCTACTAAGGGAAATCAAGCCGAGCTCAAGGGAACCAGAGAAATGTGGCTCTGTAGTCTGCCCCAAGGGGCAAATTGACACCACCCCTCTGAAGGGCAATGTGGCAGCGGGCATGAAGAGCCTCACAGTTCACGCCCCTGTGGGGACTGAGGGCTTTCTTGGGATGCGGGACCCTCAGTGCTGAAACTGGGCAAGTTTTGGCCACTGTGCACCCTTGAGCTGGTAATTTCACCTCAGCAATGTGGCCTTGGTTATGAGAAATGTACCTACCTAGTGGTGTACATGCAAGGCTGTTTTATCACAGTGCACAGTTAAAAGCATAGAGACTAGTGTCAGCAGACCTGGCCCTCAGCTCTGCCAGGTCACTGTGTGCCCTTGGTCAGTTCATTTAGCCTTTTTGTGCCTCAGTTTCCTCATCTATAACATGACAGTATCTACTCAGAATGTTGCTGTGAAGGTCAAGGGTTTGGATCCCTGTACTGGCCAGCCACCAAAAAAAAAGAATGTTGCTGTGAAGACTGCCCAGAATGCTGTACACAAACGTACCCAGCACATAGTAAGCACTCAATTAACCTCTAGCTGTTAATATTAGTGATGGTAGGAATCACAAAAGTAATGCTAATAATAATACTAGGGGAAATGTTAATATTTGAGGGTAGATTCAAAATGTAGAATATTGTGCAGCTTTTAAAAACTATGTTTTTGAATAACTGTTAATAAAATGGGAAAATAGACAATGCTAAAGTTATTGTGCAAGATTCAAAACTATACCCAGCAGAATTCTAATTATGCAGTGATACATGTATAACATAGGCAACGTGGTCACAGTGGGTTCCTCAAGTGGCGGGATTATGAATGTGGTAAACATTTTTCTTCCTGTTTTCTACAATGAACAATAATTACTTTCATTATTAAAAACAGCCCATAAACATTGTTTAATACAAATGAGAAAATACCTACCAGGTTCTCTCATTGAGAGCAATTCAGCATGCCCCCACACCCCGTTGAGGTAGAAGGAAGCGTGTGTGTGTGTGTGTGTGTGTGTGTGTGTGTGTGTGTGTGTGTGTGTGTGTGTGTCCCTTAGGCCCTGTGAATATCAGGGAAAGCTGGGAGGGAAGAATCGGGAGTGATCATCTGGGCCAGATTCAAACCATTTCCCCAGCAGGCTATGAGGTATTAGGGACCGTCAACAGAAACATAAGAAAGAAGCAAAATTTTCCTAGGTCTTGTCCCCTGCCCAGCAGCCTTCCTTGTGATGAGGGGCAGGCCTGGCTTGGGGCAGAGGTATAGATCACTGACCAGCAGAAAATCTGAACAGCTGTTTGGAAGTAAATGATGTTTGGGAGCTTGGGGCTAGCTAGAAGATTAGCTGTAATGTCTTAAGCAGATATTGAATAGAATCTGCTTCTGTGGCCTGTAAAGGCCTCACAGGCAGGCGAGGTGGAGAGGGGTGGGGAGCAGAGGACCCAGGCGAGTAAGCACCTACTCTGCACATACTGTATGCAAAATCAATCCTTCCACCATGCAGGGGCCGTTGTCCCCATGTGCTTAAGGAAACAGGCTCACAAGGTAGCCTCTCCAAGATCACATGGTTAGTAAGAGGCAGAGACTCCAATCCAGGTTCATCTGCCTCCCAGCCAGGCCTGCTGGCACCTGCATGCCCCAAGGGAAGGAGTGGGGTAAGTGGAGTATGTGTGGTGGGTGATGCAAGGGAGTTGGGGTTGGGGAAGAGAGCCAGGGGTAGCTGATGGCTGTGGCGGAGACCAGGGCTCAATGAGGAGTACAATTGGGCTCAGTAAGAGGTGTGATTCAAACCCATGTCTGAGTGACTCCCTTTTTACTTTCCAGAAGAAGCCTGGACCCTGGGGCTGTGGCTGCTTCTACAGCACAGCCTGAGGCCACCCACAGCCTGTGGCGGGCACTGCACCCTGCCCTCCCCCCTACCAGTCCCTGCAGGGTGGGACCAATCCATCACAAACCCGCCTCCAGCCAGACTCCTGCTAGCCATCTGTGTGTGTGTTCCTCCAGAGCGAGGACACCTGCGCAGGCCCGCCCCCTCATCTCTCAGCCACCAACTGAGTCAGGGCATGGGCTGGCTTGGGCCCCTCAGTAGACACCCATCTGCCCGAGCAGCATGGAGAGACTATGAGATGTGGGGCAGAGGCGGTAGCGGGCGAGAGGGAAGCAAAGTGGGCGGGAGACAGGAGAGGTAGACCCGAGACCAGGGCCCACAGACGAGGTGGAAGCCTCTGGAAGAGGAGGCTGACTGAGGCAGGCAGGAAAGACCCCGTGGCCAGCTGTTTCTCCCCAACCCTGGCCACTCCAATCTAATTCTGTCTCCTTTTTGTAGCTGTGGATTTTCCTGATGATTTTTTCCACAGAGGAAAACGGTCTCAAGTGAGGTATGTTTGTGAGAAGGGGTGGCTGGGAGAGGTCGGTCCCCTGGAGTTGCGAGAGGTGAGGGGTGACAGGCTGGCCGGTTCTGCTTGGCAGAGGCTGCTCCCTGCTGGCCCGGGGCCCATCACCCCTCTGCCCACACTGTCCTTGATGCCCTAGCGTACACAGTAGGTGCACACAGTAGGTGTCCAGTGAATATTTGTTGAATGAGTGATTCTCCAGTGCTTGCTGCAGTCCTCGGCTGTGGTGAGATGCCAGCGGTGGGGGTGGAGGCTGGTGACCAAACTGGACTCTGGACCTTGAACTTCAGAATCAGGCCCCCCCAAGATGAGGTGAGCCCCATCCTGATCCTTTTCCACCAGAGATTTTTTTTTTTTTTTTTTAAAGATGACTGGTAAAGGGATCTTAACCCTTGACTTGGTGTTGTCAGCACCACGCTCAGCCAGTGAGCTAACCGGCCATCCCTATATAGGGATCTGAACACCGTGGCCTTGGTGTTATCAGCACCGCACTTTCCCAAGTGAGCCACGGGCTGGCCCTCCACCAGAGATTCTGATAGCTGGGAACCCATCCTTGTTTCTCCTTAAGGGGGCCCATCTTTCTCTTTTAATTTTACTTTTGTTTATTTATCTTTGGGTAGATTGTAGAGAAACACAGTTCAAAATTCAAAGTACAAAAGGATATCTAGTGCATGTTCCCCCTCCCCCGTCCCGCCCCTCAGTCACATAGCTCCTAGCAACAGTTGTGTCTTGCACCCTCTAGGTAAGGAGGGGGCCTCCCAGAACCAATCTCTCCCTCAGTACTGGGTCCCCTCACCCATGCCCACCCCTCAGCCACTTGCACCTCTCTCAACCCTCTCCCTATCCCCTGATCACCCCCTCAGCTCAGCCCACCCCCACTTTGTGTTCCTGGACTTTACCTCCTGTCTGCAGGAGAGGAAACTGCCCAGAGAACCAGGCTCGTGGGACCATATGGGAGCACCCAGGCCCCCTCTAGCACTTCGGTCTCATTTTGGAGGCCAATCGTGTATATTCAGGTTTGAGGGGAGGGGACCAGGGCATCCCACCCAGAGCATGGGCAGCCCCACAACTACAGCCTCTCTCACCCACAGGGGCTGGGCTGTTTCTGGGGCTCCCCCAGCAGAGTTCACTGGCTTAGACTCAAGGTGTCACTGTGTACCCAACATGGAGGCAGTGGTTTTGCCCTATGATTTCAGGTGTGCCCCTCACCCATTAGCCACCTGTCTATCCCTCTTCATCCACAAACTCTGGCCCTTGCTTAGGAAGTGTCCCCTACCCCCAGGGGCAACGTTCCTTGCCCATGGCCTGGGTCAGGGGACAGGGCAGTCCGAAGCCTACCTCCTCACCCTCCTCGATGTGATAGTCCTTCCTGGTGTTGGGGCCCCCGACGAACATGATTTTGAGCTGCTCCTGGTGCCTGCAGTGGAGGAGGGGGAAGAAGTCCTGAGTCAGCTCCTGGGAATGAGGGGAGAAGGGTTTGCAGGGGCCTGTGGGGGGCAGGAGGGAGCCTAGATACACCTGGTAGAAGGAGCAGGTTTCTGCATCACTGTCCCTATCTCCCTCAGTCTTATCCCCAGCGTGTGCATCTAAGTGTCTGTGTGTCTGTGATGCTGTGTGCATCTCCCCACATCCTCTGACCCAACAAGGGAACCGGATGGCCTTGGATCTATGGCTTCATCATCCAGAATCCCTGAGCTGTACTCAAGATCTCTCATTACAAGAGAGCAGCAATCTGGAGGCCCCACTTTTGGGGCTGGGGCAGTGTAGGGGCAAAAGGACCTTTATCAACCACCTCCCCAAGTTGTCTGACAATGAGACCTTCCACTCTCCACTGCTGGAGGCCTGACTCAGTGGACTCAGGAGACTGTGACCTCTAGTAGGGACCTCAGACAGCATGGCGTGTGTTTAAAACACAGGGTCTGGAGGCAGCCTCGGGATCAAGTGTGGCTCTACCACTGACCTTGGGCATGCTATTTAACCTCTTTAGGCCTCAGTTTCCTCATCTGTAAAATGGAGAGACAATTCTTACTTCATAGGGTTAAACAGATTATATGGGTTAGTGGGGGGTCTGGAAGCAAGGCCACCAGTACTGCCCAGGCTGGAGGTGACAAAGTGGAACCAGAGCAGCAGCCATGGGGCTGGAGAGGAGCAGCTGAATGTGAGACAGCATGGGGGGGTAGAAATTGGAGGACTGGGGATGAGAGACCGGACAGGGATGAAGTGGAGGAGAGAGGTGAAGACAATCATAAAACTTTGAGTGGTAGAAGCAACGAGGCTTTGGGGAGATGTTGACCATTAGCCATGGCAGTATTAACTGGTGACCAAGAGCATGTGTGGACTTTGAAATCAAACTGTTCCATGAGCTTGAGTCTGGAGCCCGTCCTGCACTAGCCCAGTGACACTGAAAAAGTTACTTATTAAAATCCCACCTCATGGGTCTATAGTGAGAATTGAATGAGATAATGTAAAAACACTTGGCATAGTCTCTGGCTTGTTGAAGTGTTAGTGATTGTAGCTGTCTAGTTTGAGGTGCTACCCCAGTGGAGATGTCCTGCAACACAGCGAATGTGGGGAATGCGAATCTGTACCTGGGGAGCACACCAGGCCTAGCCATGGAACTGAGAGAAGCGGGGAAGGTGGCAGGGCTGAAAGGTGGGGCCTGAGAGGTCTGCTGGGGAAGGATGGCACCAGACAGGTCAGCCTGTTGGGAGCCGCAGGCAGAGGTGGCCTAGGGAGGGCCTGGTGTGAGTGCCTGTGTGTGCACGCACCAGCAAAGGGGGGCCCTGGGAAGAGCATACATCAAGATCCTGCAAAGGAGGTGACTCTCTGACTTCACCTTGGCCTGCAGCTTCCTGGACAGGGTTGGGATGCAGGATTCAGCTGTCCTCAGACCTGGGTTCTCCTGCACTTCTGGGGCACTGAACCTGCCCCCCCCTTCTGAGTTTCTCCAAAGTGCATGGGTGTCACTTGGTGGTGGAGAGCAGTTTCCCAGCCCTGGAGGGAGGGGTGCGCCCTGCAATCTCATCTCTCACAGCTTCAGTGTCGCACCAGCCATCTTCAGACGTCAGGGCCACAGTCCCCACTACAGAATCACCAGAAAGAGGAACAGCCGGCCCTCCCCCTCCCCCGAAGTTACCTTGAGAATGACAGCCCCCTCTGCAGGCTTCTGGGTCAAGGAGCTGGAGCCTGAGGATGAGGGTGCAGATGGAGGAGGGGGAGAAGGTGAGGACAGATAGGGGTATGGCGGGGGCGCCCTGCAACTCACATGAGCTTGTTGCAGACGGGGGGCTGGAAGGAGGCCCGGTTGGCAGCCACCCAGGTCTTCACGCTCACGCGCCGCTCCATGGTGTCCCACCCGCCCGGGGAGCGTCTTCTCCTCTCCGCGGTGTCCTTCCGGCCGCCCGAATGTCAGAGGGGCGCGGCCCCGCCCAGCCGCGGGTGGACGCCTCACTGATCAGCATCCCGGGGGCCAAAGGGCTTGGGGCCCGGCTGGCGCTGTGGCCCTGCTGACTTGGGGCTGACCCGCCCGCCCTCCGCGCCGCCCCGGGCCGTCCCCTCCCGGCCCCGCCGGTGTCCTGGGGGCGCCGCACACCCACGCCGGAGGGGCAGGCAGCCTGCTACCCGGCCGGACCCTTGCTGGGCCCCAAGGAGCCCCCAAAGAAATACGGTAGCGGGGGCACGCGGGCTGGGAAATCAGAGCGCTTGAGTACGTGGTGCCGGCCGGGATTTACGCCTCAGTTTTCTCATCTGCGAAATGGGAATGACCGCACAGCCACTGCGGGCTGCGGTGCGCGTGGAAATGACAGACGTACAGTGGCCGCCGTCTGTTCTCACGGCGGGGGCCCCAGGGCATTGAGTGCGCGCCCTGGGGACGGGGACCGGAGGGCGCGGTCCCCTCGCCTACCTCGCCCGCCGGGGCAGCGCCGAGGGGGACTCTCTGGCGTGGAGCGGGCTCGGCCCGGGTGCCCGCGCTGTTCGGAACGTACCCAAGTCGCACACAACTACCCGAGGACTTTTACAGACGAGCACACGGGCCCTCGGTGTCGTAGCCCTCAGGAATCGCGGTGTCGGGGGTGGGGGGACCGCACAAACCCGGCCTTCGAGAGGCTCTGGCACAGGTGTCCTCGGGCGGCTGGCCCCTGCCTCTCCTCTCTTTCTTCAAGACTCCGAATTCTTAGGAGAACGCGAGCTGGGGGAGGGCGGAGGTGGTAGGTGGGTGAGAAAGAAAATGGTTCAGGCCTCTGATAACAGAATCCAGACTGCAGAGTTTAAGAAATTCTAGACTCCCCCCCTCCTGCCCCCCAGCCCGTCGTGCCAGCTCCCTGCCGCCTGGCGCGGACTGGTTTTCTCAGCATCTCAGACACAGACTCCCCTGGCACGAATCAGAACCCAGGCAGGTAGGAGACAGGATTCCCACCCAGCCCGGCTGGGGCTTTCCTGTTTCATCTCCACCGCCCCGCCCCGTGCCCCACCCTATCTCCCTCCTTTTTCTTTTTAGTTATTATTTAGAACATTTTAGCTGAGCATTTCTTTCTAGAATTTTGGCACCCAAGTAACTCAAACCACTTTATTTTTCTGATCTACAAGTAATCAGAGGAGATGTAAATAATGGCACTGGAACACCAAGGTGTGCTTTGGCTGCTTGTTAAATGGAGAGATGGGTGGGTGCATGGAGACATGAATGAATTCACACTAAAAGGAAAAAAATAGATTTCAGCCCAACAGATGTTCTGTTAACACAGTACAGAGGGAGGAATGATAGTTACCCTGTATGTTAATCAATGTAGTCAAATGTGAATAATTGAGGTTACAAGTAGAATTTTGAGGTTCTGAATTATTCAGATTAATCCTATACACAGGCTAAACTACTGCTGGGTAATCACTGTCAAATATGCCCTCTGGTTTGTGCTGTGTAGATAAAACACCGTGTCCAGTCTACTCAATTGGCAAGCCTCCTAGCTTGGGTGTTGGACACTATTTGACTTGAATGTTCGGAAAACTGACCGTTCCCATTTTATCTGGGTGTTCTGGCATTGTTTAGTTAGAGCCATCTGGAATCCTCATACTGACCCTTGGTCCCCTTCTAGTTTTTGGATCTTACCTGCTCCCAGGAACCACCTCTTGCCTCTGCACACAGAAGCTCATTTGCAACACGGAATTAGAAGCACACAGCATCTACCCTGAGATCAGACCTCATCAGGGTCTGTCCTGCTTGCTGGGGTCTTGCTCTGTCCGCCCATGGATGGCATTTGCCTGCCCAGGTCCCTAAGACCAGTAGATATTCTACATTATGCTGAACCTGGCTGGTGATAGCTGTCTGATCCTTCAACTTTTTAACCAATTACTTTGGCTGATTCCTTTCCCAGCTGGTCTTGGTCTGTCTCTGCTTTCCTGTCTCTCCCACTTTCCCACCCTTTCACATAATTGAGCAAATACTTAAGAGCAAATAGCTTTATATGAATAAAAGGGCTAGATCACGAGCTGTTCTGGTTATTTGGAAATCTAGGTTCTGGCCCTGCTATTTCTTTAACTTAGGTTATTTAAAGGTCTGTTAAAATTTTTATAGACATATATTGTTTTTTTTTTTTTGGCTATCATTTTGTTTCTGTTTCTAATTTTATTGCATTGTGGCAAGTGAAGATCGACAGTGTATTATTTTTGGGTGGGGGACATGTTATGATTTCATTTGCATCTTATCCTATGGTTAGTTTCTGTGAATGTGTATTCTCTTCTTAGCATGTAGTTCTAAATATTTCGATTAGATCAAGCTGTCGTGTTATTCAAATTTTTTAAAAACTGCTTACTATTTTGGTTTCTGAGAGAAGTGTATTGAAGTCTCTCACTGTAAATTTTGGTCAGTTTCTCCTTCCACTTTAATAGACTTTGCTTTGCATATTTTGAGTCTATGTAGTTAGATGAAAAAAGGCTCATGACTATGTTATCTTCTTGTAGTGTTTATCACTAAGAAATATCTCCTTTTAGTTTCTTTTCACTTTTACTTCAATTTTGTCTGGTATTAATATTGCTATATCTGTTTTTTGTGTTAGTATTTTTCTGGTACAGTAAATTGAACAGATGCCACAATAACTCCTTCCCTTCCCAAATCCATACCCCTTGCAATATGACTTTGCCAGTTTTCCATCAAGAGGTGGAATCCATCTCCCCACTCATTGAATCATGGCTGGCATTGTGACTTGCTTTGAATACAGATGGCAGCAGAACTGATGATGTGGGTCATCAGAATCTAGTCCCCACCAGACCCGGCAGCTGCTGATCTCATCACCTGGAACGTTGCTGCCATCGGGCTAGCCTGGGCTAGCCTTCTTGAGGATGACAGGCCATGTGGAGGGTGATTCACCAGCTGTTGAGACTATTTTAGAGGACCATAGCTGCACGAGTGACTCCAAGGGAGACCAGCAGAAGACCTGCCCAGCTAAGCACAGGTCAAATTGCTGACCCACCGATTCATGAGCAAATAAAATGATGGTTACTTTAAGTCATTAAATTTGGGGGATGGTTTGTTACACTGTAATAGATAACTGAGACACCAAGTGTACATTTTTCTATAACCTTTCTGTGTCATTTTGTTTTAGATGTACCTGTCATGAATGGCACGTAGCTGGAGTTTAAAAAAAATCCAATCTGAGAGCCTGTGTTATTTAATAGGTGGATTCAACCCTTTCATATTTATTTAATTATTGATATGTTTGTACTTATTCCTGACATCTTATTTTGGGCTTTCTAATTACCATGCCGTGTTAATTTCCCATTGCTGCTATTATAAATTATTTACCACCAACTGAGTGGCTTAAAACAATACAAATTTATTGTCTTACAGTTCTAGAGGTCAGAAGTCTGAATGGGTCTTATGGGATAAAATCAAGTTATTGTCAAAGGTGCATTATTTCTGGTGGCTCTAGGAGAGAATCTGTTTCCTTGCCTTTTCCACCTTCTAGGAGCCACCTGCATTCCGTGGCTCAGGATCCCTTCCTTCTTCATTAAAGTCCATCACTCCATCCTCTGCTTTTGTTCTCACATTTCCTCTCTGACTCTCCAGCCTCTCTCTGTCCCCTGTAAGAATTACATTGGACCCACCCAAATAATTCAGGATGATTTTTCCATCTCAAATGCCTTAACTTAATCACAACTGAAAAATCCCCTTTATTATAGAACATAACATATTCACAGATTCCAGGGATTAGGACATGGAGATATTTGGCAGGGGTGGATGGGGACATTATTTTGTCTACCACAGACCCCTCTCCTTGTCTTTTCTTTGTTGTCTCTTTCTCTCTTTCCTAATCTATCAAGATGCTCATGGCTGCAAGTAACAGAGACCCCAGTTAAACAATGGCTTAACCAACAGAAAGTTTAAGGGCTCTACTGTTACCAAGCGAGGGCTCGTTGCCTGACACACACAGAAGCCAATACTATGGCACTGGTTTTTGAGAAAATAAAAGGCTTTATTGCAAGGTCAACTGGCAAGGAGACAGGAGGCAAGGCTCAAATCTGTCTCCCCAATCTAGGGTCTAGGTATGTTTTAAGGGATCGGGGAGGAAGAAGTTTTGAGTTGGCAGAGTTTGATTGGTCACTGTACCAGATCTTCCTTATTGGAGGACCCTTCTCATTGGAACTGGCTCCAGCGGTTAAGTTTCCTGATTTTTGGCTCCGCTGGTGGGGAACTTTGTTCCTGTAGTGCTCAAGGTCATGACATTCCTCCCTGGTGCATGCTCAGTGGGTTTCCTGAATAACAACATGCTAGTACAAAGAAGTGAGATCAGTTAAACACAATTATATGGTTTCACTATAACTGGACACCCAGAGGGAGAAGTGTAAGGATACCGTAGGCACTCGAGGGTAAGGACACCGTGGGCATTCAAGCGGAGGGGGAGGGGGAAGCACTCCCTAGCAATATGGCGCCCTTCCGGGTTCTTCTCCGCAGTAAACAAGCCCGGGGGCGCCAACACCCAAGCCCACCAGCGCCAAACCTCAGCCAGTCACAGGTCAAGGCTCACCTCCTGCCAGCCCCGTCCAATCAGCTACCGCCCCATCCACCCCCTATCCAAACCCAGAATGCAGCTCCCTATAAATGTACTTGCAGTCTTTGAATAAAGCGGAACTTCTCTGGCGAACTGTTAGCCCGGGTCTCGCGTGATTCCTTCCTCCGTGCGCCCCTTCAAGAAGGAGCCTGTGACTCAGCAGTGTCAGCATGGACCCTGGGGCTTCCTATCCCTCCAGTCTGCTATCCATGGCATCAACTTTATCCCAAGGCTGGTTCCTGAGTGGTCAAATGCAGGGGTGCACCTGGGGTCCTCCTGCAGACCCAGAAGGAGAAGGAGCCGACA